GAATGAAAATATGACAAGATTACTCACTGACTATAGTCTTTCAGATGATCGATACTAATCTTGTACGCAGATCCTACCGTGTAACTGTAATGAAAGAACTTTTTCACCGCTTGGCCGATGAAGGTCATGGTACGAGACTAGGCTAGGCCTGTCCCAATTGTGTCCAGCAACTTTTGGTGTTTGGAGCAACTTTAATCAACTTGCAGCAATTTCGCTTTTCAGAGCATTTTTCGGGTAAAATATATGTTTAGAGCACTTATCAAGCATGAAAAAGTCGACGATTTCATAGAAAAAACTAACACATAACTTGTCAATTGACAATTTATTGCGATCTTTATCTAATATTGTCACAGATAATTGGCTAAAATGACGTTCGGCGAGACGTCAAATGAACCTTGCGTTTTGTCCTGTTAGACTTAAGTATCCTTAAATGTCGCCCATGTTTGCGAGTAACTATTTAAAGCCAAGTTTCAAGCTATTTTTCTTGATCAGTGGTAACAATAATTGCGAATAACGAAAAATAAAGCCTTAAATGTACGTTTACGCAAAAATATCAAGAACTTTAGGTAGCAACTTTTTTATTTTTGGCAATATTTTAAGCAACTTTTAGGCATTCCAGTGAGAAGCTCTCCCGCATTTTACGAGCACAATCGCGACAGGCTTAGAATTGACCCATACCTCATTTTTGGGAAAAAAATGAGAAAAAAAGAAAGAAAAAAAAAAGAGGAAAGAAAGAAATAAGTAAAAGAAGAAAGATAGAGAGGGAAACAGGCGCACTTTCCTGGAATTCTCCGGCCGCTCAAGTCAGTATCCAAGAAGGTCACAGAATCGATTTTGTAACTTTAATGGACAGTCACAGGTTTCACAAGGTCTTCACACGATCACGGTCAAAGGCTTACTTAAATCACATTGCTTTGAACTGACAACTTATTGGGTGCCAACGATTACATAATAGCGTAGCGTGTTCCCCAGTCCCCGACAACATATCACAATGTTTTGCACGATCTAACAGAAGTCATTGATACAATCGATCGCGAGTTTTTCAAGACATGCGCAGGAGTCACAAACCTATTTCTCTCAATTGCTGTAATTTGGAGAAAATTGACCAAAAGAATTGATCAGTCACATCGCGCAGAATACCTGGACATCACTAATTATTCATCAGCACTGAAGCGGGAGATTTGAATGCACTCGCGCCTTGAAAAGCCCATAATTAGAGAAGAAAGGGCCGAAACTAGTGCAGCAGCGTTGATAAAATTCGCTTTTTCAATTGCCAGAAGCAATAAGTGAGAAACTCAAGAGCGTGTTTTGAAGAGGAAGGGTTAATCTTAGATTTAAGCTTAAAAAGAAGAAGTTTGAGAAAGTACAAGGACTATTCCTGAGCCTTTGAAAATGACGAAAAAACGGACATTTTTGGCATGAGTGCCGATTTCAAAAGCGATTTTTCAAAAACTCAAACTGGCTTCCAAATACCTAAGAGCGGGAAATGGAAGATGGATCTTTTCTGAAACAGAACCCGTTTTAATTTGGAAAATTGGTGAACGACAACCACAATTTCTCGCAGTTTTAAAATTACTAGTCGCGCAAAATTTAAGTATTGGTTGAGCGGGGCCAACTACACCGAACTGCAACAAACTAAATACGGAAATAAGTAAAGCAAACAGTTGGTTTAAACTTAATGGAATGCAACCTAACATCAAAAAGACCAAGCACTTACTTATTGGTACTGCTAAGAAACTCTATCACAGCGAAATAACTACATTGGAGCTTTTCATTGACAACGCAAAAGAATGTTTTTGTAAATAGGCTTATCTTTAAATATAATCTTTGATCTTTCTATTCTTTTATACAGTATGTCATATGTATTTTCAGACTCCTAACTGCTGATGTAACTTAAGATATGTCTTTTTATCTCAGGAAGAATAAAGAGTGATTTATTGATTGATTGATTGATTGATTGATCGCAAGACTTGAGGAATCAGTCGGTGTCGTAATTGATTCCCCATTTTTCTTGGAACTTACATATCGACTATCTAATAAAAAAGCCGAACTCTAAAATATGTTTTATTTAGAGAGCTTAAGTCTATTTAACTATTGAATGCAGAAAAATGTTATCAAATGCTCTCATTAAGCCAATTCTTGATTATTGTCGTACTGTTTGGGGTAACTGTTCTGTTGAAAACCTTCTAAGGCTGCTACAAGTACAAAAACGATGTGCGAGATTAATATTGGATGCCACCATTAATGACAGCTCCGTAGAACTTTTTGATAAATTAGGCTGGCTACCTATAGATGACATCGTACCATTAGAAAACTCTTTATGCTACACCAAGTTAGCCAGGGTCATTGTCCCGAATCTTTCACCTCATATTTTAAACATGTTAGGTCTACACATGGTTATCGAACCAGATAACATGTAAAAGAAACTCGGGACTTTCCACTCAAGTGCATGTCGTCTATGGAATAATCCAGGTAACACATACAGAGACATAATTTCCTATTCAAATTTCAGAAAAATGCTACAGAATAATTTTATCAAAGAAAACTCTTCACTAGAACATCTTAAGATTTGTAGGACTTTTTGATTTTTATAATGAATTTTAATAATTTAGTTGGAAGTGTAGTAATTAGTAGGATCAGTATGATTTTTGTTTTTGTTGAGGGCCATTATGTAAACTACCGGGCTACCGGGCTACCAATAAATAAAATATTTGTTTGTTTGTTTGTAAGTTCCTTTCGAAAATGGAGGATTTCGAGTTTAACACCATCAACCTCGTTCCCATGGCCTTTTCCCTTACTTGAAAACGAGGGTTGCGACACCATTGTTTTCAACCTATGCTTGAATAACAATAGCTGTCAAAACTAAACAATGGCCTATTCAAGAAAACCACTTATTTGTAAAATAGACGATTTACCACCTGTTTTAAAAATGCTCTTAGTGCATCAGCTGATTTATTACGGGCTTTTCTTATTATGTACTTAGGAAATGGATAACTCGCCAAAATGGGTTCTTTTCAACATAGTAAGCGGTCAGAAAGCAAGCGATGCACTGTGGAAGTAAGGTGAGGTATTTTTTATTGAGAATTTGAGTGTATTTTTTATTCCTTTGAGCGGTCGTAAATATTTCCATACACACTCATATAATTTCGCCGTGACTCTTATTTTGCAAGATGATCATCTCACAGCTGGAGCTTTGGCCACCTGTGATGCAACTAGGCCACGCGATGATGAATGATCAAAAAAAAAAATGATCGTGATCGGGAGCTCTTTTCAGAGCTTATAGAACCCCCGATCCACCCTAATCTTATACAAGTAGTTCCACCTTTTCTTGAGGAAAGAAATCCAGTGTACATAGTTCAAATGAGCGGTGAAGCAGCCTGGAAATGTAGAGTGTTTTACCGGCTGCCTCGTAGGGTATTTGATTCACTCAAGCGAGCATTCTGCCTCTCGGCCACAAGCTAAATGAATCCTCCTGCGATCGCGTTGGTCGCACAGTCACAGTTTTTTTACACGTATGCGAGAGAAATTAATTGGAAAAACATTCCTTGAAATAGGAAGTGGTCCTGTGTCTTGAGCGAAAAAGATCGTCAAGTGGTCAAAATAACACCAACCAGATAATGGTCACGTGCTCGGCAAAGACTTGTAGAAACCGATCATATTTCATTCTTACCATCAAACAGTACGTTTGCAAAGAAAGACGACCATAATGAAAAGGCCGAAATTGGCGTAGCTGCCGAAGCGTCCGAAAAAAAAAACCTGAAACGAAAGAAATAATGCTGTAAATTATCGTTTTTTATCTCATGGGTACATATTTCCGTGGGAATTTCCATGTCAACAGCTTGCTCTGTCACTCACAAACCCTTCGTGATTCTCGCTGCTCCTCGTTATGTTTGGCGCATGCATATGGACAATTCGAAGACCCTTCAACTTTGGTCTTTAGGTTGATCATAGCACTAATCTGAAACATTTCAATTTAGTAAATGTCTAACCAGCCGTGTAAAGATAATAAACATCGCAACGAGCGATGCAATCACAATGGCACCAGGACTTCGGACTTCTTCGGAAGGACAGATCTCGAGTTTGGAGCCGACTAATTACGACTAATTACGAAGAGTCCGCGCCAATTTGCATATCCCAAAGTGCCCAGAACAAATTGTTTCTACGCTATCGCGTACCCACGAGTTAAAAATGGTTCCGACTTCAGCAGTTAACTTTCTTTCTTTGTGATACAAAAATAAAATCGCTGCTCCATCCAACACAACGTTGTAAATCACCAAATTTTAAGATCTTAAGTCACGCATAGGGAAACAAACCTGTAAACATTAAACGATTGTCTTCTCGCATGCCAGCAAGCACATATTTGCATGGAAGGATCAAGCTGTGAAGTGAAGCTTGAGAAGCAACTACTGTAAATTTTCTCTCTTACATCGATTAAGCCTGATTTTCCACTAGCGACGCAAGAACAGGTGTAGGCGGCACAAACACCGGCAAGCTTTAGGTAAGTATACCAAGTGAAAACGGACGTCGACAAGCACAAACACTAGCGCAAGAAAAAGGAGAAATTTGAATCTTTATACTTGTGTGTTTACACGGTGAAACAAGGGTTGCATTACTTGCGTCTCTAGTGAAAATCAGGCCAAGGCAGCAGAAATCGTACCAACAATGAAACTAGGGTCTGTTAAGTCCTTCCGCTTTATTTTAATAAGTTAATCTCAAAAAGAAATAGAACTAAAACATAAGAACGCATGAAACTCGCCGAAAATACTTGGCGAGTGTCAGGCGACCTAACGTAAACATTGATTGTTATGAACTGAAGCTTGACAGCGAGGGAAGCTTGATTTTATCAAACCTGCAATATCTTTATCTGGTTCTCTCAGACATCCTAACTACCTTTTTTTGTGCTTCAAGTAGGTAAATTAAAGTAATAGACAACATTCTACTGTGAGATAATATCTCGTAACGACCAACTTCATGTCTAATTCGGAACTTAAACATCTTTCTGTGTGCACAGTTCTTCCTGTTCACATCAGTTCCAGCTAAACCACTGCACCTACAGTGTCTTCCGCTGGACCATGTTCTCGTGTAATTAGAGTATCTCCATCATCATGACGTGGAGGTGATCGGCAACAAACGAGGGCAAAGAGATAATAAATTGCTTCACAGAAGAACAAACTAGCAGCTATGAAGCCACAAATGCCTGATCCAATCATTACATCCCCTTTCACATAGATGTTGCCATCATGGTACACAATTCCAGAGCCAGCAACCAAGGCAACCGAGAGGAGAAAACATCCGATCATTCCAAGCAGCGGTGGCACCTTCTCGAAGCATCGTAAGCTTCTGAAAATGATGTACAGGACCACGAAGACGAACGCGCAGGTGGCTACGCCGACTTGATATTTGTATTCTGACTTGTAGCGATAGAACTCATAGCTAAGCGTAAGAACAGCCGCTAAGAAAGTCGTTACCGTCTCGATGAGTTTTACGTATCCTTCCATAGTGGTCACTATCCACGCAAAATTGCAACATCTTCGTGAATTCGGTGACTCTTCCCTGTCAGCCATAGCTGCTGTCTATATATACTGAGGATGGTAGAGTCGCTATTTGAAGTGGACTACGTCGGCTTCTCGATAAACATCCGCTGTTCAGAATGGAGCCCGTGCTCCTCATACAAAGTGACGATTCCAAACAAAGATTCGCTGTGTTTTATACTTCCCAGATCGCACTGTGTTTTTGGACGGTTTGGAGAAGCATTCCTGCCCGCCATAACTTTTGTCTATACATACCGAGAATGGTAGAGTGGGTAGATAGGAATGGGCTACGTCAGCTTTTCGATAAACATCCACTGTTCAGAAGGGAGCCCGTGCCCGTGAATAGGGAGTTTAAGATACGGTCACTACGGACTACGGACTACGTCTGGGCGTGA